GGTGCCCCTGGTCTGCTGGAGACGGTCCCCATCAGACATGGGGCACCAGGAGCAGCTTACCAACGGGGCTCTCTCGCCCCGGAGCTCGCAGGCAGCAATCCGCCACCTCGACCTCCGGGGCGAGAAAGCCCCGTTCGTAAGTGCGGACGTAAGTCGGGGACTGCCTGTAAACAAAAGGAAGTGTTTCTTCATACAGCGTACAGTCATCCTGTGGAACTCTTTGTTAGAGGATGTTTTGAAGGCCAAGACAATAATAGGGTTCAAAAAGAACGAGGTATGTTCATGAAGGACAGGTCTATCCATAGCTGTTAACAAGGACGGGCAGTGATGTCAAACAATGCTCTGAAGTGTCTCTAACTTCTGTTTGCCAGAAGCTGAGAACAGGTAAAAGGAGATGGAGCACTTGATTTTACCCATTCTGTTCATCTGAAGCATCTGGCATTGGTCACTGATGAAAGACATAATACTGGGCTTCGTGGACTAGATGGAGCAGTGGTCTGACCCAGTATGGCCTTTCTTGTGTAACTTAAAACCTAATTTACCAAACAAATTGCATTTTGCAGAAATAAAAAAATCCCCACATACAGTAACTTTTACTTTATTTTTGTAGTATCTGACTCTCACTGAAGCTTATTTTGCAAAAACTTACATTTTTCCTTTCAGGAGGTATGATACTCGAAGGTAAATACAGGCAAGTACAAAACTGGTTCCGGAACTCTAGTGCTCGTAGTAGTTGTTCCTGAGGAAAAAGTATGAGACATATATTAAAACAAAACTGGCTACACAATGGGAACATTTCAGTAGTTGCTTTATATCGCCTCTTTTTTTGAGGACGGAAAAGAGTAATTAAGAATCCAGCCTAATTTGTACATTGATAAACAACAATACCACCACAATTTCTTTATAAAGGAAAGACACTGACTTACCAATGAATATTAAGATGGCTACACAGCCTTTAGGAACAGTAAAGGCCAGAAATATTGTCCATCCACAATAAGCTTTGAGAAATACACATTAGCTGACAATATTTACTAAAAAACAACAAATAGACTGGTAGCACTTTCAAGACTTAACAAAACATGTAGATTGTATCATGAGCTTTTGTGGGCACAGCCCACTTCTTCAGATGACCAGGCTGTGCCCACGAAAGCTCATGATATCATCTACATATTTTGTTAGTCTTGAAAGTGCTACCAGACTATTTGTTGTTTTTAAGTTTTTGCTATTACTAACTAACTCAGCTATCCCTCTGAAATATTTACTAACGCCGGCAGTTCATTCAGTATTTCAACTACCTTTTTTAGAACATTCTTTTTATATGTTTTCTGCTATAATGGAATAAATAAAAATATACCTTCTTATCATACCTGCACTTCTCCTTTATTTTTGCTGTATTTGGAGATAGCATAGAAAAATAAATTAACTCACGTACTCTGTAGGTACTAATAACAAACTGAGTCCTTTGGCGAATTCTTTCAGCTGGCTGCAGAGGATGGGCAGAGGCAGGAAGTGCCTTTTCAAAAAGAAATTCAGAGCCACAGGCAGAAAGCAACAGTCTGGAGCCATCCATATAGTACACCTCTACAGAGTCATCCTCGTAAAGGATCATGAGACTTTCAGGCGTCATTGCAGTAAAAGGAAGATGACTGTCGAAGAAAGCCTACATTAGAGGACAACAGACTTAGACCATAAAATTCACCCTCTTAATATGCATATACAAAAAATTAAACAGAAGAATACCTACACCAGAGCTTTACTGTCAATTCCTACATCCACAACTAACAATTTATCCCGTCACGGGGTGGAGGAGCAAGTTTTGACTTTTTTAGCAGCATAGACTGAACGGCAAAGGCATGCGCTCCATGTTATATGGATAGACACAGTTATTAAAGCATCGTTTACAGATTTACTATGTGCCACGGCAAACCTCCCCAGTACTACGGGAAAGTAAATATCCAGACTTCAATTGGGCGGGCGGTCAGGGCTGACGCCCTCAATGCAGGCTAAGTGAACGGGCTTGTGTTTCCCCACGCTTACCACTGGGTTATTAACAGCAGGTAGCGCCCACCGCCCTGGGGCAGCAGCTAGCCCAGGCGGCGCCCTTTCGGCAGATGTGCCACGGCAAACCTCCCCAGTACTACGGGAAAGTAAATATCCAGACTTCAATTGGGCGGGCGGTCAGGGCTGACGCCCTCAATGCAGGCTAAGTGAACGGGCTTGTGTTTCCCCACGCTTACCACTGGGTTATTAACAGCAGGTAGCGCCCACCGCCCTGGGGCAGCAGCTAGCCCAGGCGGCGCCCTTTCGGCAGTGCGGGCGCGGGGCGGAGCAGGAACCACCGCCCTTTCCTACGCGCGGGTTTCAGCCTCAGAGCTCGGGCGCGCTTTGCTAAT